TTGGAGGGTATGTCTTTCCTACTCTTTTGTAGTGTTGACCAGATCCTTTCGTTGGTAGGGCTTTCGTTGCATATCTCGGTTAGGGCGGCCCTGACTGTGTTGAGGTTGTCCTGAGTCTTTGGGTCAAGGTTAGTTCTGAATTTTGTTTTCTCCCTTATGATTAGTCTTAGGGCTTTAGCTTGGGTTAGGTTTTTGAGTCTTGCCCCGTTTGGGCATCTTGGTACAGGTTTCCTCTCCGATGAGTGTTCTGGCTGGGGTAAGTTAGTGCCGGCTGTCGCTAGTTTGTCAGCTTCTTCATTGCCTTCCAGGCCCGCATGGCCTTTGATCCATTCTAGAGTCGTTATCCCGTCTCTGGATCTTAGGGAGTTTACGGTTAGTTTGATTATCTCCCTCTGTTTTGTGTTGATGTAGTCATTGTCTTCCAGTTCATGTAGGTTGTGGCCTAGTGTTTTAACGCACCAGAGGGAGTCGGTTTTAATGTGCAGTCTGGCATTCCGTGGCACTAGTTTAGCGGTGTGATCGATGGCCAGGATTTTGGCTACGTTATTTGTTTGCACGTTGTTGCTTGGTACTCTGTTACTGGAGTTCCTTGGGTCGTTATGTCCAAACCAGATTCCGAAGCCCGCTATGGCTGTGGTCTCTCCGTTATTGGTGCATGAGCTGTCTGTGTAGGCTATGATGTCTCTTGGGTGTCTTGTGGTGGTCTTCGGTCTGGGCTGATTCCTGTCTGAAGATTCTGTAGTTCTGTTGAAGGACCTTGTCCTCGGGTCTGGGGGGGTTGAAGATTACTACTTTTACTGTGCTGCCGAGTGTGCATCTTTTGATGCTTTCGCGGTCTTCGGCGGTGGGTTCCCTGCTTGCGAGGTTGATGTCATGTGGGTTGAATTTTTCAGATAGGTCCTGTATCATTTTTTCCGCCAGGTTGTAACACTTCTCCGGGTTTTTACACCCTTGGGTTCTGTATGTTGTGCATGGGTCGCACTTACATTTTTTTGTTCTTGGGTTATGGGTTGGGTCTTCCGCTATTGATGCTTGGATTAATAGGTCTCCGACTACACTGCAGCCATGACTTGTCCTGAGGCATTTTGCCTGTCGGGTCCTGTCCAGGTTTTTTGTTCCTTCTTCTTTGCCGATGTGGTGCCAGGCCGGGATGGATAGTTTCGTTCTTCTACTCATTTGGGGTGGGTCAATAGCTAGGTTGTATTTGATGCCGGTGTTCAGAGTGTTCCTCAGTTCGGCTGTGAGGAGTCTGCTGGTGTACTTGGTTTTTCTGAATGGACTTTGTATTAGGACGTTGGAGATGATCGGGTCGGTTTTCTCTGATTCTCTCTCTTCTTTGGGGAGTGATGCCATTATTATTGCTTCCGCTGCTAGTGAGGCCGGGGGTTTGTCGGGTGAGTCATCTAGTATGTGGCATAGTTTTGTAATTCTTATGGCTTCGTTGCGCATTTTGACATTGAAGGTGTTGCGGCCCCCGGCCTTGTAAGGCATACTCATCAGGTCCATCCCTATGGGAGGGGGGCTTTGGACTGCCACACAAATTCTCTTGTGATTTTGCTTAGGTGTTTTTCGATGCTATCTGGCATTCCCTGTGCTCTAGTGTGGAACTGGGTCATTCCACCTATTGTCATTTGTGTGATTAGCTTGCGCCCCTCGAGGGTGGGGTGTGTTTTCTCCCAGGTTTTCAGTTGGCTTTCAATTTTTGATGTGATGGTGGGCCATGGTTCGATGTTTTTTCGTTTATTGCCACATTGGGCTCCTAGGTATCTCATGGTCTCACCGTCTTTTAGGATTTGGATGCCTTCCTGGATTTGTTCTGTTGAGTTTGGGTTGAGTTTGCGGGTTTCAGTGAGGTGTTTTCTGTATTCTGGTGAGCCTACAGGTATGATGACAGTTTTTTCCTTGTTGAATTTCGCTCCTGATGCCGTGCACCATCTCTCTAGGGTGGTAAAGAGGGATTTGATGCTGTTGTTTTTAGATGTGAATACTGCTGAGTCATCCGCAAACAGAGAGAGGATCACTTCTTCGGTTATTGAGGGGGTTTTGACTTTGAGGCCCTTGAGTTCCTCAGAGTTTCTTATGATTTTGGACATAGGTTCGATTGCCATATTGAAGAGGAGGCAGGAGAGAGGGTCACCTTGGCGTACACCTCGGTGTACCCTGAATTTGTTGCTGATCTCTCCATTGAGTATTACCGCTGTTTTGGCATTGCTGTAGAGGGACCTGATTGTGTTGATTAGGTTGGCTGGGAGGTTCATAGCTTCTAGGGTGAGCCAGAGATAGTCGTGGCGTATCCTGTCATATGCCTTTTCCTGGTCTAGGGCTATAATTGCCCCATCCTGGTTTACGATTTCGCAGAGGTCTATCATCCTGTTTACCAGGTCTATATGGTCCATTATGCTGCGGCCTTTTATAAAGGCTGCCTGGCATTTGTTTATCAATTTGGGTGCTATTAGTGACATTCTGTTCATTAGCGCAGTTGTTATGATCTTGTATTCAGAATTGAGTACGGTTACAGGTCTGTAATTTTCTATGTCTTGTCTGTCTTTTTTCTTGTAGATGGGGCAGATCCAGCCGTTTAGGAGTTCTGGTTCTGTGATGCCTTCATCTTCGATACTGTTGGCAAGGAGAAGGATCATTTTAGTTATGTTTAGTTTCTTTGTGTCATCTGGTTTTTTTGATGTCCATCTGTCGTTCCATTTTTTGTATAGCTCTGTGGGGATCCCGTTGAGTCCGGCTGCTTTGCCACTCGGTGATTGTTTGAGGGCTGTTAGTATTTCGTCATATTCAAGAGGTGTGTTCAGTTCTTCTGCTTCATTTGCCGATAGTTTGGTGACACCTTCTAAGGCCTCTTTTATGCAGTTGTTTCGGTATTCTATTGGTATTTCTAGGTCTCTATACTGGACAGCATTATAGTGGCCAGCTGCGGTTTCTGCCATTTCCTTTGAGTCCATTGTGTATTGGGGTGGGTTTGAGTTCCGTACTCTTAGTTTTGTTATGGTGTCTCGCGGTTTCTTTTCTTTTCCCCATTGACACCAGTATTTATTTATGGTCTCTCCTAGGAGTCGTTTATTGGCTTTCGCTTTTAGCTTGTTGCTGGAGTGTTTGGTGGACTCAATTTCTTTGATCCTTTCTGTTAGGGCATGGATTTGGTATTGGATTTCTAGGGTCTGGTCAGCGCCGGCATGGGTTAGTTTTCGAATCGCTTTGTCTCTTCTTCTGGTCAGTCTTATGAGGGTTGAGTTCATTTTGCCTGCCCTCACTCTTGCCATTTTCTTTGCTAGTTCTACGACTTCCGTGGTAAATTTGCGGAAGGTGAGTTGGGGGTTTCTACTTGGTGGCTGGTCTGTTTCCATGTTCATTAGGGCTTTTTTCCCTAGGGTCTCTGTTTCTTCTAGGAATTGTTTATTATTGATTAGGTGGATTGGAATTGCCCATCTTCCTCGGCCTAGTTTGGGTGCTTTTTTGTCATGTATTTCCATGGTGATTAGCTGGTGGTCACCTGTGGGTAGGTTAGGGTTCATGATATTCCATTGGAGTGATTTTTCGATGATTTGTTCTGTTGCGTAGATTCTGTCGATGCGGGAGAGGGGGGCCCCTTGTAGGTGTCCGTATGTGTAGTTACTTTCTGGGGCAGGGTTGGTGTGTCGCCATCCATCAGTTAGATTCTTAGTAGTTCTCAGGTTTGAGAAGGCTTCTGTGGCATATGGGGCGTCATTGTGTGGGGGAAAGCGGTCAATTGCTTCTTCGACCATATTCAGGTCACCTAATAGAAGGTCGACTCGTTTGTTTGTTAGTTTGTTGTTTAGGTCATTCCAGAAGTTTCCATTTTCATGTCCCGCTTTTGTCATGTTAGGGGCATAGACAGTGACGATTGTGATTTCCGTGTCGGTGGGCCACTCTATTGTGATTGCTAGGGCACGTCCTGGGGTAAGTCTAGTTATGTCTTTGGGGGGGTTTTTTATTAAGTTCTTGTTTACCAGGATTGCCACTCCTCCGGAGCGTGAGTGGTCTATGTCATATGAGTGTGTGATGTAGAATAGGTTGTTATATCTTTCTGTGAGGAAGTCCTCTTGGGCTGGGTCCGTGTGGGTTTCAGATAGGCAGAGTATGCCGATCCTCTCTTTCGTCATGGTTCTGGTGAGAGTGTCCCATTTGTATTTTGTGTTATGGCTATTGGCACCCTTTATATTTAAGGCTCCGATTTTTAGGTGGCCACTGCGTGGGGGATTTGCATGTCCTCCTCTGAGTCTTAGTGGGGTGTGGGGTTGTGTTTGTTGTTGTTTGTGTGTTGTTTGGGTTTTGGGTTTTCATATTGGGTTTTCCATTTTGTTCCTTTGTTTCCCCCCCTTCTTGGGTGCCACAGTTCGTGTGTTGCCCACCTCCATTCCCACTGTGGCCAAGGCTCGGGGGTGAGGCCGGATCACAGTTGCGACATCCCCACCTCCATGCATAAGTGGGGAAGGGCCTTGCTTTTTTGAGCTGGTATGCCGGCCAGCACTACCAGGTGGTTCTGGTGGCACCACACTTCCCGTGCTTAGTGATTGGGGTTTTTGCGGGACCGGGTTTGTTTTATGTAGGATGGCATAATCATGTTTATTATGGTTAGTTTGGGAACATAACTAGGTTCAAAATTTAGGTCTGGCTCTTTGAGCGCAGGCCTTTCAGGCTCTGGATTTCCCTGTGTGTCCATGTGTGGGTTATGTGTGGGAGTGGGCACTGACAGTTTATTTTACGCGGTAGTTAGGTGGCTACACAGGGTTGTAACTATTTACGGGTGAGGGTGTTGTACTCTTTTCCCGTGGCAGGCTTCCTGTTGTTCTGGTTTGGGCCTCTCTGGGTGCCTTGGTTCCTTCCGGCATTCCTGCTCGTAGAGGGGCCTGCTGACTCTTGTCCATGCGTGACAATGTGTTCTGCGTTGCTAATGGAGTTCGTGTTTGCGATTTGAGATTCATCAAGTCCCTTGCAGGGGAACACCTCGTTCCAGAAGGGGAGTTTGCTCAGAGGGCATTGGTAAGTCGAGTGGTCCCTCCCCTTGCAGCATTTGCAGGTATTCTGGGGGTTGCATTGTTCGCGGTTGCTATGGCTGGGTGGTACCATTCTGTATTTTTGGCCACAGTCACCCATTGCCTGTGTTTGTTGGCATCTGAGGGGTGAGGGGAGATGGCAGTGAAGACCCAGTGGGTTGAGGGAGTGCCGCGCCTGATTGTGGTGATTGGGCGGGCTTCAGCTGAGTCAATTATTTCACAGCGATGAGTTGTGTTGAGGGTCTCATTAATCAGGTGTTGGCCGATTGCTGTGTTGGTTAGCGCCATATTTTGTTTGAGGCACTCGGTGACAGCTGCTTCCTCATCCTCACCGGCAGCGAATACCCAGTTACCTAGCCAAGTTGAGGTAAAATCAGATGCTGGGTGTGCCGCGAAGCTGAATGCCTTTGATAGCCAGAATTGATAATAGAGTAAGGTTGCAGCATCACGGTATCTAAGGCCGGCAATCATAATACTCCAGGGGAGTGGTTTGTCTCCCTGTTGGTCATTAACTTTTGCTGCTGGGATCACTGAGAATGTGGCTGCTGAGGTTGGGAAGGCGCGTTTTATGAAGATGGTCGCATCCACCTTAGCCTTCTGCATACAGGGGAGGGAGTAGGCCATGAAGAGGGGGACTATGATGACCGTGTAGTCTGTGGCATTCTTCCAGGCTTGTTGGGCTCTTTCTGATACATTGAAGCGCAGGTGCGTGCTAAAGATTCCGAGGGTTTTATAGTCAAAATCATTCGGCAGGGTGTATGCGTTGTACATTTGTTGATTATCATTGGGAGTGCTGAATGGGCCTGGAGACTGGTGGATAACAGTCGTGGGGAGGGGGGTTGGGGCCTCTTCCATATAGATGTCTGTATCTAGGGCAGCTGGTATTTCTTGGGTTAGCTCCATTTCCGGCTCCTCATCCGGAGTGGTGTGGGTATTCGCGACTGGGGTGTTACTAACCAGGCTCGGGGAGGATTGGGCCGAGTTGGCAGGGGATGGGGTCGCGGCCACAATCACTTTTGGCATGGTTGGGAGAGCGGTCATTGAGAGGGGGATACTATTTCCCTTACCATTGGGTGGGCCCCACATAGTGGGCATGTCCTCTCCGTTGGTCATGGTTGTTTTTTGTTCCTTTTTTGGGGGGGCAGTGGGGTCAGAGGTACTAGAGAGTCCTCTGTCGCACTTTTGGCCTGCCAGTGTGGTAGGGTTAGGTGGGAGTGTTTTGTGGGGTTTTTCGGGTTGGGACAGTGTAGTTGTTCGGGGGGAGCCGTTACTTTATTTTTGAAGTTTTATGGGGGAAGCCGTTGGGGACTGTGCGGCCATATGGTCGTTGTTTCAGTTGGGGTTGTTGGGTTTGTGGTGTTAGAGGGGGAGTGTCGGCATTAGTGTGGTGGGGTGGGTGGTGGGTTGCTGGCGCCTGGGGTTGGGCTTTATCTGGGGTTTTGACTGCCAGAAGGTGTTTCTGGGCTTCGTTCCTCTCAGTGTTTCCTGAGACCCTTTGTGGGCCCACGTGAGTGTGGCGGGGGTGGCATAGCTTTTGCTTGCCAGTGCTCTTTTCAGCAACCGTGTTTTGCCCTCTTCCTGTTTCGCAGCCTTACACTTATTAGGTGGTTTTTATCGTTCATCTTTCTTTTGCCTGTCTACTCCCTAGTTTAGCGACATTGCGGTCGTTTATGGGTAGTTTTCCCTTCACTTTCATTGGGTTCATTTGGGAGACATCTACATTTCTTATTATAAACACGACTTTGAATTTTGCATTAGTTCCTGAGGAATCCTTGTTCCATGGTACTTCCATCCTGTCAGGGCACATACCCTGACTTAGCCCGGACCCGGACCCGCATCCGGACCTGCTCCACTTCCTGTGCACTTCCTGCACTGCACGCTCCGCTGAAGGAGCGGAGCTGGATCACCTTATGTAACCAGTTTCCTACGTCCAATAACGATATTAGAGTTTGTGCTGATTTGCGTACTGACCGTGTTTTGGTTGCCAAATATATGATTGTTCACTGTCTAAACAACAATAAACACCCCCCAACGATCTCACCTGACATATAGATCATCTATGGATAAAATTCTATATTGACTTTACTATGATTTCTAGTCAATATTACACCTATATTTACCACTTTTCAGTAGGACGTGATTTTCCTGATAATTTACTGAAGGAAAACTGCTAATAAAATAATTCCGCAATAAATGTTACTCAATACAGGAGTGACCAAACTGCTCTTTCTATCGCTTAGAGTGCGTGCTAGTTATCTAGCAGGTTCAGGATCGCTCACTTTTCTCCTGTGGTGTGATAACCAAAAATTGCTGAGAGATTATTCAATTAAGAAGTCCCTCCACCAAATTCTCACTAATTCTCACTATGACACTTTTGTTCAGCTGTGTCTAACTGACCCTAACTCACGCTTAGAGTGACGTGTTAGTTTTATATTAGCTAACAACTAATATTTGCTTTTATCTTTTGGAGCAAATGAACCAACCACTGGTGAGGAGAATTAAACTTTTATTTCTACCTGAGGTTTGAGAGGGGGCAGAAGCGGTGGCCTTTTATGCTTTTCAGAGGCCTCTCTACTCCCACGCCTCGCACTAGTTACATGTGCTACATTTGTATTATAGATAGTTCTAGAATGATATAGGGGCTTGGGCTGTGTAAGCTTAATAATGGACTTAGGTCATGACTCAGCAATAAGTAATTCATTTCTTTGTCTTTTGGGCCGATCTCAGCGGGATCTTGTAGCGCTGAAGCTATGCTCTACACCGCCTTAATTACGAACGGTTATCTTTAGAAATGACTCGGCTATAAAGGAACTTTCTAGACTGTTCTCTAATTGACCCCTTTTTGTGAAGCTGCATCATTACTAATGTTCTAGAGCCTTCCCAATTAATTAACTGATCCGCGGACTTCTGAATCACTTCATGCTTATGATCCGAGATCCATATCATCCATCATTCCCTTGTTCCGATTTATTTGAGCTTAAAAATCAAAAAGTTTTGATGAATCATGGGAAAATATACAAGATCCGGTTTTTTAGCATTTTCTCCTCTTCTGATGCGATCAAAAACTGTCCGCCCGCGCCGGGGAATACTCTATCATATGGTATTCGGTCCGCCAGACTTCCGGGCGCCAATATATTTCCCTTGAGTCACATTACTTTTTGTAAGAATTAGCAAATAAATATATATGAATTATAAGGTGTTTCGCCGTTTGAGCGATATCTCCGTCAGTTTTGAAGCTTTTAGAATGAAACAAAACCGTGGATAAAGTTAGGAAACAGTCCTTTCAGATGGTAAAAAGATTACAGTCAAAAGTTTACTGGTTCCCGAGATATTCACATTTCTTTCCCAATGTTCCTTCTTATTCTGCTGTCTATGTGCTATTTTCTTGTTGTAGGGATATATTCTTTGAATATTACACTTATGCCAAGTTCTAGGCATGATTGTAGTAGATTAAATCTCATACTACATGGGTGTAGATAATTTATAATGATCTAATGTCTGTCCAGTCTCATAAAGATCATGAGATCTGTTAAACTCTGAACTTGTCACCTGTTCGTTGACTATTCTGATAGATCATTGTTTTATTCTTTGAATATTATTTCTCCTACACCGCACACCGCATGATCTGACCCTGGATCCCACCTCATGTGACTTCCGGGTATCCCCGGAAGTTTTCGCCATGTTGGGCCACTGTGGGAAAGTGAGAAGTTAACCTTCTTCTCACTTTCTTACCCACAGTAGGCAAGTGTAGCCTACTTCCTATTTATCTATACATCTTCTTACCCACAGTAGTTGCCCTGGATAGGGCTGTCCATAGGTCAGGCTGTGGACCATAGGGGAGGGTCATGGGGACCCGGGAGTCGTCCCCTGACACATCCTTGGCTACGTGTGCAGACATGGGAAAGCAGTTTCCGTGGAGGTTCTCTGATTGTTTTTAGAGTCAAATCTTGGTCGATTGTCCTAATTCTTTGTTTAATATTTGCTATAAATTCCCCCGAGAATTTCGTCTTGTTGATGCTAAGCTTGAAGTATTTTTGCTAATTTTCTTTCTTTCAATTTATTGCATATGTAGTCGTAATAATTCGTAATAATTCGTTAAAATTCAGGTCCTTCTATTTTCTCATATCTACTTGTCATATGGGGTTTTGTGATTTATCTGGCATATTTCCATAATGGGTTTCCATAGTGTGACCGTTATTTCTCCTACACCGCTTCCACACCTTTCACCTTCAAATGCATCTGCAATGCATTTCCAACACTTTAGGTTGTCAAACTTCAACCTATCCACTCATTTGATGTTGGTATCTGGAGATTATACTCCAGTCCACATCCCATGATGGTTGCATGATACCCACACCCTTCGCTTCCATCTCCAGCAACTCCTTGCACTTGCGATTCCTCACACCTCCGATTCCAACTCTGCATACTCCCTGCTGGTCCAATTCTGCCCTCTTTTCTCCACATTCTAGGCCTGAGCAACCCAGTTTGTGACTCCGGAAATCAAACCGGATGTTTCTTCGGAGACACAACAAATAGTCTGCTCATTCTCTCTCTCTCTGATATCTATTTTCTCATTTGTCTGATTTCTCTTTTCTTTGTTGAATAACTGTTTCTCTCCTGTTCTGATATTTATGTTCCTTATTTTATTCCGATACACTATTTCCTGCTAATCTGTTTTTTCTGCTTTGTCTTGGAAACTCAGTCCCTCTGGACTTCGCTTCCTTCTCTCTGAGGATCTTTTCCTCCACCCCATCACCCTCCGATGATCTGGCTCTTTGCCGCTTGTCACCTAGGTTGATATGGCACTACTGTTTCCACCAGTACCCAGGCCATTGACCTAACCCATCTACCCTGCTCCGGATTCGAATCACTCAGGACACTCCATTGTCAAACCTATAGATGGTTCTTACTCTTACGATCTAGGACACCACTAGCTCCCCTACTACAATCCATTGATCGACCAGGTTGGAGTAGTACCTTAGTCTGTTCTTTGAGTACCCCAGTCTATACTCTGAGCTCACCCCCAGTCTCGTTCGGACTTCTTGTCTGATTGGTAGACGCTTCCACCTGATTCACCATCTGCATTCCCTACTGCCCATGTATTCCATTAGCAATGCTAAGCACACCACTCCAGGATAGCGAGACTTGCTCCGCTTTCACCCATCTTGCCCTTATCTTCCTTTGGCCCTCACCCCAATGGTTGATACCATGCCCACATCTCTTCCGCTGGCATTTTATGTCACACCAGTTGGATGGTTTGTGCTTGGTTGTTCCCAAGACATAATTTGCTCACCTACATGCTCCATTGAGAAGTAGACCTTGAAGCATACCTTGTCCGGAACTCCGAACACTCCCAGTCTGACTCACCCCACTTCCAACTATGCTTCTATCATCCTCCGGACCTCACACTGTTGGTCAACACATCATCCTTACCTCCTACGATACGAAGATGTTCCTTACATCACCCTGTTGAATGGACTGTTCTACTGTCTTTGGACACGATGTGCTCACCCTGAGACTCCATTGAGTAATGGATCATGAGTGCATCACCTCCAGACATTTCGGATGCTCCAGTTCAGCCTCCTTACATTCCTCTCTTGCTTCTACTTTGCCTGTTGCCTTGGTACATGTTCTATTGCTAGGATAACTGTCTCACCTATGTGCTGAAGGAGAGAACAAAGGAAGGTCAGTTGGGAGGTTCAAACGAGACCATCACCAAGCTGTTTCCTGGTTCTTTAGTTAGGATGGGGAAGTGTACTAGTAATATTTGTTGTAATTATAGTACCAATCCAAGTGTTTTGACTAATTCTATTTTATGGGTTAGTCTAAAAGTTTCTGAGAATTGACTTACAGATAAACAAAGCCCTGTGGAGCTGTTCCTCTATTGTAATTTCTCAATTTATCTGGATGTAATTCTGTGTAGGATTGTTTAATTTGGAATTTAACTTGAATTAAATCTTTTACTTGGTGAATTTTCAAAGATTCTACTCAGTTAATGGGTTTGGATCGTGTCTGAAGTGTCCCTTGACCTTGTATTATTTTTGTCTTATTTTTATTGCTTGTTTTAACAGTAGCAAAATAACTGTTTGTGTTTACACTTTGAAATCTGGAGT